GATGCTGAAAATCCTAATGCCATTAATATTATTTGTTTCATCCTTTATACATGTGGCAGGTTCAAAATGACATTGCCAACGTTGTTATCAATAATAAAATGAATGAGTGCAGTTTAAGATTTCTTTTTGGTTGTTTTGTCCCCATTGTATGTGTGATCAAATACATGTTTTCACTTCTTCCCTGTGTGGTTATGCTGCCAGCATGGTAACAGTTTTATTTCATTTTGTTTTTGATTTTTAGGCACCACTGTTTGTCATTTGGGTTTTTTTTTTTTTTTTTTTTTTTTTAAGGTGCGTAAAATATTTGTGTGGTTCAGTTCCACAGTGAAAACTCTAAGTTGAGAGACACTGAAAGAGACAGCTCCCTGCCCCCGGTTCCTCCACTAGTGCAGTTAGACATTTGTGCTGTTTCCTTCTCCCACCATTGTTCTTTGTTGATACCAGGAGCAAACTCTTTTCAGAGAGTGCTCCTTGCTACCCAGCAGGGCACCTGACACCTCTCAGTCTGTCCTGAGGCAGGTGCCTGTTCATGGACAGACGTCACAGAGTTCCTGGGTTTCAGCTCATCTGCCCCTTGCGTTCTTCCTTCTGCAGCAGGAAGTGTCATGGGACAAAGGCCTCTCTCTTTTTGTTCACTTTTATATAGTTGGTGCTTAACACAGGGACTGGCATTTCACGGGGCTCACTGAAAGGAGTTGCGGGGGAATGAACTCTGAAAATTGAAGTGGAGATGATGATTCTTCTTAACTTCCTGCGATTGTCACTGCTTATTTTTTAGGGCCTCTTTTCGACTTTGTGGACGTGGCAGGTTAAGCGTGTCCAGTCAGAGTGGTCATCTATGCCCCCACTGTGTAGAAATAGAGTTTTCTAAAATTTCCTATTTTCTAATGATGGCCAAACACTCAGTCTTACAAAGTTCACGGGACCCGGACAGTTTGGGTTTTGAATGCAAAAACCAGATGAACTCAGGCTTTCCCTCCCTACCTTCTCCTTCTGCTCGGGGGGCTCCCAGGTCCCAGGACTTCCCTGCTTCCTCAGAGCTGGGGTGCAGTGTGGGGTTCCTGCATCATCCTCTGGTCTCTCTGGGCTCCACTGTTTTAGAGCTGTCCCTTGAGGGCCTTGGGTGTCCTAGGGCCCTGGAATCAGCAGCAGGATCCCCCAACAGAGCGACCTCTGCTTCCTCCCGACCTGCCCCCAAACCTTGTGTGGCCCTGGCCTTTTCAGTGCTCTGTGGCCTTCTGGGGTCAATGCTGGGGCTGGACAGGGACATACTACGCTGGTGTCTGTGGCTCCCTGCCCTCCTGGTCCCCTCCCTGGGGCTGTCTGCTCAGGGTCCAGATTTTGTGAGCTGGCTGCAGCCCTCAGGCCGCACCTGGGAAGCCAAGTCCGAGCCCTTCCTCCTTGGATTCTCTGCAGCACCTGTGGTACTCTCAAGGGCTTCTATGGTCACGCTGGCTGGCAGTCCTGTCCCGTCCAAGTCCAGGAGAGAGGGGGCAGCTCTGGTCCCTGGGACTGAATGTGCTGCAGAGCCCCTCCATCCCTCTTCCTTCTCTTCACTTTCTTCTTTTGTGGGGAGACAAAGCTAAGATGGCTGCTCTGGCCTCACAAAAGCTTCTCTCGGTGCCTCCTGCAGCAAATTCCAGGTGCTGGCTTTCTGTATTTACACAGAAGATTCCAAAATCCCAAACCCCAAAACCAGTAAAAACACTTTTTTGATCTCTTAAACTTGCTAACAAAAGCCAGGATCTTTGAGATTAAAAACAAAACAAAGCAATATATTCAGCATTTGTTCTCGGCTGTGTCTGTCAGTGTGGCAGAGAGTGAGTGGGACAGGGAAGCCTCCAGAGGCCAGGTGGGGCTGGGAGGGTCATCGGCTTCACATGTCAGGACACTTTTCCAAAGATTCACATGTGATGTGGGATGGGCTGGAATCGTGCACCTGTGTGTATGTATGTGTTGCCTGGGTTCCAGGTGAGGATTGCTGTTCTTTTTTTTTTTTTTTTTGTCTTTTTCCGTGTCCAGCAACGGATCGCAACCCTCAGTGTTGCCCCCGGTACCGGACCGGGGACCGGCAACAGGATTGCAACCCTCGGGGCTGCTCCCGTGCCTCACTCAGCCAGTGAGCGGGAACCGGTCTGTATGTGGGATCTGAACCCTCAGGAGGGAGTGCCGCCGCGCTTCCCAAGTGGCACACTTATCCAGTGCGCCACTGGGCCGGCCCAGGATTGCTGTTCTAAAGACAATGGTTCTGGACAATTTTTCCAGAAGCCACATGGCCCTTGTCTGCCTGTAAGGTCTTGCCGTGTGGCCATGTGCATGTGGTTGTTCTATGCTAGATGACTTTGCCCTCAGTCCTCATTTAGAGATGGGTTCTGCATACCGTGGCCATGTTGTGTTGTGATGGTCACTCGTGAGGCTCCCGTAGGTGTCTCTTTGACCTTCATCACAGTGTGCTACTTAGGTCTCCTCCCTATGACTCCTGTAGGGATTGTCATTGAAAATGCCACCTCAGCTGGCCCCACAGTGATGTCCTTTTTCTGCACCAGACACACTGAGTCTCCATGTCAAATATGACAGTTGGGGTTATAGGGTGGGCTGTTTGGAGCAGCTCTATCAACAGGTCCCTAATTCACCTTTTACCCTGAAAGGCACAGCTACCATTGGATCTCACTGGCCCGATCATCACACCTATCTCTTCAGCAGCCTTGTCCCTACTACCTACCCCACTCCAGGGACAGGCTTATCCTGGGTATGCAGAGGTGACCAGGAGGTTGTGGCACCCATGGGTCCTGGGAGGGATGACTGGGGACATGGTGCAGAGCTGAGGTGAGTTAGGGATGCCCACAGTCACCCAGGCTCCTGGCGCCCACTCATGCCCCACAGGGATGCAAGGATGTTCAGGGACCCACATAACCCTGGTGGTCCTGACATTCTAAAGCACAGTTCCCCAGAATTGGGCGCTGGTGACCCTCACAAAATTGTGTGCAAGAAGAGTGCCACAGCCAGTAGGCATTGAGGCTCCCATGGGCCCCTCGGAAGGGTCTTTGAGAAGAGATTCTGATGTGGCTCAGGTCATGAGCTCTCCATAGGGGTCTCCAAGCTCAGAAAGGGGTGGGAAGTGGGGCAAGGGCCTGGGTGGAGGAAGCCTGAGCATGGGGACTGGCAGCTGCCCCTCCCTGGCTATCCTGTGTGTGCTGGCTGCTTCCCACTGCTGGGGACAGTGATGATAGGGACAGACGTTCTGGAGATGCCAGGAGGGAGCTGTCCACTGGCCTAGAGGCTCGTGAGCCTGGCTTGAGAAGGCTGGCTGCTGGAGACCCCCACGTGGCTGGCTCTTAGTTCCTCAGGGCAGAGGCTGGCGTTGCAGCCCATGCCAGGAGCCTCAGGAGTGGACGTCTGAGCCGGGCTGTGAGGGGCCACTTCGAGTCTGTGACTGAGTGGAACTAGGCAGCAACCTAGCATCTATGTCACCTGCCATGGCCTCTCTGCCCATGTGGCCACATTGTCTCTGGGATGGAATGCTCTTCTTTCCATGAACGCTGACTGTGGCCCCAGGCCCTGTCGTTGCTGCAATTACAGTAACTACGGGGCTGGCCGCTGCATTGGGAGCCTCTCCTGGATCGTTGTGGGGTCGCACAGCCAGGAGCGCAGGACAGGTGTCAGCCCAGGTGTGCTCGTGCCAATTCATTGCATTCGAGAAAACCTGCAGGAGTCTGCTCATTTGTAAGAAACTGCAGAATAAAATTAGATATAAGCTATAGACATGTTCTCAAAGTGGGGCTGGGAGCTCTTTGGATTTATGAGGCCATCTCGGGGTCTGTTGGGGTTCTTTCTTTTTGGACGATATACCCCTGGGAGGCCGTTTCCTTCACAGACGTCCTCGAAGTGGTGCAGCACGGGGATTGAATGCAGAAGTGGATCAGGGAATCCAGCTGTCTGCTCTGAGGACAGGTCTTGGAGATATTATACTTCTCACTCTGTTTTTTGTTTGGGGAAATGTAATTTTTCATAAAATGCTAGTCATGTTAACATGCAGTGGATTTACTACTTTTAAATGAATTTACATATTTTAAAAAATTTCTCAGTTTTGGTTTCATATTGGTAAACATCAATAGCTATAACCCGCCTACACAAGGTTTCTGTGAGGTCCTCAGTTATTTCAAGATGTGAAGGGGTCTTGAAACGACAATGTTTAGCACTTTGCTTGAAATAAAAATGACAGCAGTTGCATTGATAATCCCAGCTGAGGTCACTCAATCGGCACATGCCAAGTAGAATAGTGCTGTATTTACTCTTTAAATCCTCAGCGAAACCCACTAGGTGAGTGGAATCGTTCTTATCCTTGCCATTGTATAAGTGAGTCAATGGACTTTCAGCGATGACCTTCGCCTTCCGGAACTGAGCCCCATGGTGGGAGAAGGTCAGAAGTCACAGGGACACCCAGATGGGTGACCCACATTTCCAGGGGGAGAAGCAGCTGCCAGAAAACCTAGCGGTTACAGAAGGGCTGTGTGTGATGATCTGCATTAGTGGTCAGGGGAGGCACTTTGCAAATCCACAGGGTTGGGGCCGATTCCCTGTGGAGGTGGCATTACAGGTGGACCATGAAGGATCCATAGAGTTGGCCTAGTGAAGAGGGTGGGAGGGATGGACCCCTCTCCCCAAGTGGAAAGAAGCTATGAGTGGGGGGTGGTACCTCAGTGGAAGCCTTGTCCTGGTCATTGGAATCGGTAGACCTCATGAGGCTTTGCTGCCCACGTGGGGCTGTGGCCCATGGGGAGTGCGGTTGCCCTGGAGTGGTACCTCAGTGGAAGCCTTGTCCTGGTCATTGGAATCGGTGGACCTCATGAGGCTTTGCTGCCCACGTGGGGCTGTGGCCCATGGGGAGTGCGGTTGCCCTGGCACAGTAAGTCCTACTGCATGCTCAGTGGGCACCATCGTAGAGGTGTCTATGGCCAGCCGCGATGCTGTCACTCACTGTGTGTTTTGCCCCTCTGAAGGAGAACCACTGTCGCCGCATCAAGATCCTGGGGGACTGCTACTACTGCGTATCGGGCCTCACCCAGCCCAAGACTGACCACGCCCACTGCTGCGTGGAGATGGGGCTCGACATGATCGACACTATCACGTAAGTGCCTGTATCGAGTTGCAGAAGCTGGGCCACCATCCGCCCCATGTGGGCTGCCCTCGAGAGCCCCACTTTGTCCTGGTGGGTCTGTCCAAGGCTGTAGGGAAGTGATGCCGGTGTCAGGTAGGCACTGGGTCAGGAGGTCCCACCTGAGCTATGACATGTGCTTCAGTGATCCCCTGCTTTACGTTTTGTTTGTGACTATTTGTCTACAGGTATTCATGAGTCGTGCCAAAAGAAATGACCTTTATAGCTTAATAAGATATTCAGGAAGGGTTGGCCCAAATTCGGCTGAATTCCCTTCTGGAGGGAATAAGTGTGTGCTTCTTCATTCAGATGGGTGACAGGGTCTCAGGGGCTGGCTGTGTGGGGAGAGGGGGTTGGGATCCGGCAGGTGAATCTGCACGGGATGAATAGCACACCTGCGAGGCCTGGCCTGCTGGTTTCTTGGTTGGCCTCATCTCATCATGGTCCTTGTCAGAGACTGGGATGGAGACTTGAGGCTTTTGTGGGTTGGGAGGGCGTGGAGCCGGAAGGTTGAGTTAGTGGGTAGATCCGAATGCAAATATCTCAAAGCGTGGAGAGGTGGGTACATTTCTTGTCAGAGACTGGGATGGAGACATGAGGCTTTTGTGGGTTGGGAGGGCGTGGATCCGGGAGGTTGAGTTAGTGGGTAGATCCGAATGCAAATATCTCAAAGCGTGGAGAGGTGGGTACATTCCAGTGAAGTAGGGTTAGCAGGTTTTGGTGGAAAGTTCCACACTTGGAAAAGGAATAACAGCACAAGAATTGTGTAAGGAGACATGATGAAGTAGCTGCCAGGAAGTACACGCACAGAATATCCCCAAAAACAAGGCTGCAGAGGTTGTTGAGACCGTGGGCTCCCTGTGCAGCATCATTGTGTGTGGGCCGCCCCACGTGCTGCTCCTGCAGATTGTGTGGCTGGGGGAAGGGCATCAGGAGGGAGCCAGCACCTCGGCAGCATGCTAGTCCTGGCACCCCATGTGTTGGGGACACGGGAGCAAAGCCAAACCTGCAGGGTGGCCATTCTTCCATGTGGCTGTGTGTCAGATGTGCTGTGGGAATCAATGTCCCCTCTGCCTGCCCCACCCTGAGAGCCCGAGGTGGATGGTCTGGGATGTGGTCTGGGATTCAGAGTGGCAAAGCCCCCCAGGCGATCTCAATATGTGGCCACAGGGCAGAGTCACTGTTCTAGAGAAAAGCTGCTTGGCTGGTGGAGATGCTGGGCAGACACAGTGGGGGAGGGAGGACGGATGCCTGGCTTGGAGAAGACTTGGACAGGAGGTGGTGACTGTCTTCTGTCCTCTGGAAGAACGTCAAATCATATGTACATGTCACATTCTGTTTCCTATCACTTCACACGCATCATATCATCTCAGCACATCATATATCATGCATTATATCTTATATAACATCACATATCACATCATACCATGTCACATCATGTAACATATCATATCATGTCACTTCACATTATATCACATGTCATATATGTCATAGCACATACATCACATGTATAATACCGCACGTCCTATGTCATACATTATATCTTATATTACATCATTTATCACATCATACTGCATAACCCAGGCTTACTGTGTCATGTATCACGTTATATCACATCGTATATCATAGATATTATACACTACATCATAGATCATCTAATATATATCATATCACACAATCACATATCACATCACATATCATGTATCACGTATGTCACATATCACATTATATCATTATATATCATCGTATATCACATTACATATTATACATCGCATTATATCACATTATATGTCATGTCATGGGCCCCACGGGAGCAGATGAACCTGCCAGATTCCTGGCTCCCTCCCTGAAGTGAGGCTCCACTTTCCTTGCATCCTTGATTTTCTTCGCTGTGAAATGAAGAAATAGTGTTTGTATCTCTGAGTTGTCATGAGGATTAAAAGGGATCTGGATTAAATGGTCCCACACAGAGTGGGTTCCAGCAGCCACTGCAGGTATTGATCCATCAGCTTCCACAGAAAGGGAGTGGGCCCCAGAGAAGAGAGAGCCGGCGGTAACTCTGCAGGATTCCCTCTGCAGCGACGTGGGCTGTGCACCTGTAGGAATCGGGGTGTTTCCACCTCATGGGGGAAGGCTCGTCCATCTCAGGCAATAAGTAAACCAGGAATCAGATTCACAGGGGAGACTCATTCTCCACATGACCACCAGGCACACGAGGTGCCACTTTGCTTAGTGAGACTTAGTCCAGATGTGGCCTTGCTCGTGATCTGCACATTTTTGGTTACAGCATTGATTAAGTTAGAAGTAACTGCATCTGCTTTTCTTCTCCAGACCCTCCTTTGAGCTTGCATGTGCTGTGGTCCTCAGCAGACCCTGATGGTCCCCCAGGCTGGAGCCTTGAGGTCACATGAGAAGGGCCTTGTCCATCTGGCACTAGGGCTGTCACCGACAGCACCTTGCTTTTTAACAAGTTGGCTTGTGTGTGTGAGTCGTGGAGCATGCCTTGGTTTCTCAGTAACTTTGGGGATTACCTCATCTAGTTATTGGGTTCTGGTTTCCAGAGCCACATCTGTTGATACATTTGGGGATGGGTTTTCTGTGGGGCAGGAGATGCTTCTTTGCACACACATTTACACCCACCACACATGGTTTTCCTTAAAATGTTAGGGGACCTGGAGCTTCTGAATCCTGCATGTTCCAGGTTAAGAACCTGTGTTTTTACAGATGGGGAAACTGAGGTCCAGGACAGGAAGTGAGGAGCCTGGATTTGGAAATGTGGGGCTTGAAACCGTGTGCTCTGCTGTTCTCACCACGTGTGGTGGAGTCTGGAGGCTGCTGTGGGCCGGTGTGTTGTCACCATTTCTGGAAAGCTCTGTGTGTACAATAGTAAATCAGCCTCTGCAGGGTCCACTCTCTTCTATCTCCCACTTATGTGCACAGTGATAGCCACAGTGATTAGAATAACGGCTGGGGTGAATATGCTCAGTAGATGTTTGTTGAATGAACAAACACACTTACATGCATCTGTCCTTTCAGTTTTGAGCTTCAGGGTAGTCACGATTAAGTTTCAGCTCTGCTGGAATTTATTGGCACCAAGAAGCCGACAGCCACCCCCTGTGCCTAGGGGTGGACTGTTTTGTTTTTTCCCTGCTGGGGTCAGGGCTGCAGACACTGGATGAAGGTCAGACTTTTTCCTGTGTAGAAAACACTTGAGATAAATACGTGAAACTGAGAGCATATACAAGGAAGAAAAATAGGACGAAAAAGGCCCAAAGGTGCTGTGGGAATTCTCTTCCTTGGAAATAGAGTTAGAAGTTTTTTTTTGGATTTATGCAAAGCCAGCATGGGCATCCCAGGAAGATAGAGGCCCAGAGGAGTGGCCATGAGAGCAGGTCTGGATGCCTGATTGATTTAGGAGCAATTGTCCAGTGAACTGCAGACCCGATGTGACCAGAATGGAGGTATTTGAGGCAGAACCTGTTGGGAAAGATTGAAGGTGTAGTGTATCGGTCAGAAACGCAGGTAGCAGATGTGAGGCCGCGTGGATTTGGGTGGAGGCTGGTGAGGGGCTGCTTGCTGGGAACCTAGAGGGCTGCTTTGGTGGCTTACGGGGACCTGGGGACGGAAGCAGTTGGGGCCCACGCGTCCCTGGGCCGTGTACCTTTGCGACTGCAGAAGTGTAAGTGCTAAAAGTGCACAGAAAACCGTTCCCAGGTTTATTTCCATTTCCCATACTCATTTCTGTTGTGAATTTCGAAAAGTAAATGTTAACTTCAGTGTTTTGTTTCAGCGCCCCTTATTGGGGACTGGCAAACAACTAGAAAAAAGTTTAAAAAAATTTACATTCAAAATGTTTAAATAGGTGTTAGAGATAGATCCGTGGTCTAACTTCCAGATAACTTCTTTGTGAATCTGTGGCCCGCACACTTCTGAGGTTACTGAAGCTGCATGTGCTCCTGGACATCTGGGACCCTGACTTAGACGTGTGTCATTCTACAGTCCTGTGTCCTCGAGCATGGAGGCTGTGAAGGCAGCTGTATCAGAGTGGGTGCTGGGGCCTCTGTGTGCTGTCGTAAGGAGTGATGGGCAGAGCTTCCCCTGTTTGGAAGACAAGCCTGGGAGGGCAGCTGGCAGGGGTTCAGGGGAGGTGGGGAGGCCATGGGGGACATGGCCAGCAGGTGCTGCCACAGCCTGGGCCTGGGCTGTGGGAAGGAGCGGGCGCAGGTGGGAAGTCTGCAACGGGAAGTCTTGTGCGTCCTGTGGTGTTATTGAGAAATACCACCCAGGGGGGCCTCTGAAACGGGACTGTGGGGCAGAGCGTGGAGCTGGGTCAGGGGCACGGCAAGGGCTGAGCCGGGTTGTTGTCATCGTCACTGCCCTGATGGGGATGAGGGAGTGGGCTGTACTTTCCCGGTCCTTCTTGGAGCCTTTGTTAGTGTTTTCACACCTGAGGGGCTAGGAGGAGCAGGAGGTTGCCCCCCCCCCCCTTAAGCCTTGGGCTGCACTGGGGTAGAGTGTGAACTATTGCAGAGATTGTCAGAGCCAATCTAGCTGGAGCTGGGTTTATTCATGAGGAGACTGAGGCTCAGAGATGGCAAGGCTGTGCCCAGAGTTGGCCAGGCTGGACTGGGAGTACCCAGAAGTCCTCGATTCTCTCAGTGCTTGCCCTGCCTTCAGTTCACCTCCCCCAAGTGCCTCTCTGGCTCTGTCCTCCCGAGTTCTGATCTGGGTTAACACCTTTGCACCACTAGCCTCATGACTAGACGTAGCCTCTACTCCTTGACCCCAAGAATAGGACATTTGCACTGAGGCCCAAGGCCGAGTGTGTCAGGAAGGGGATGGGGCATGTAGCACAGATGTTGGGTTGCAGATCCTTTTCCACATTTCCAGTGGATGGTTACCTGCCTCTGGCCGGCAGCGGTCCTGCAGAGCTCTTTGTTAATCCATACTGTCCTGATGCCGCCATCTGAGGACAGTGGTGATGAGACCCACGTGGGATTTGGAAGTCCTGGGCTCATTTCCCTTTGGAGATTGCCCTAGATGGGGAGGACACTCAGGGAGGCCATTGGGGAAGCTCTTGGAGCTGGTATGGATACAGTGTGAGCTGGCTGGGAGCATGGCCCGGGGACAAGTCTGGGGCTGTCAGTTCATGGTGAGGCGGGAAGGGCCAGTCTGGAGACCTTCATGCTCTGGCCATGTGCAGCAGGGACAGCCCAGCCCCCTGGCGCTTACAGGCTCACTGCCCCAGCCCCACGCTCTGTGCCTGTGTTGCAGGTCCGTGGCTGAGGCCACCGAGGTGGACCTGAACATGCGTGTGGGGCTGCACACCGGCAGGGTCCTGTGCGGCGTCCTGGGCCTGCGCAAGTGGCAGTATGACGTGTGGTCCAACGATGTGACTCTGGCCAATGTCATGGAGGCTGCTGGTCTGCCGGGGTGAGTTGGGGACATGGGTAGGGGAGGTGTGCATTCGAAATGCTTTCTAATTACAGTAGTCTCTCTTTTGCTCTCCTTTCTTCAAACAGTTGCATAAAGTCAATAAGTCAGTGCATGATATTCAATGAAAAAATTAATGAGAACAGAATGAAAAGTATACCGTCCCTCTCACAGAGTGGGCAGGAGAATGGTGTGCCTGCAGGAGGGTCTCTGAGGCTGGCCTGGCTCTGTCACCTGGCACAGGAGTCATGCGTCCATGGGATCCCCAGCGTCTCATGAGAGGGGCTAGCGGGCCGCACCAGGTGTCCAGCATGCGTGTGTCTGCTCCTGTGATGCCTCCATTCCTGCAGGCAACTGTCTTCACTGTCGGGTTCTGGCCCCCCTTTCCCTGCCTCCCCCATCCACAAGCCCTTCCTCACCCAAAAGGGGTGTCATCCTCTGGACCTGTTTCTCTCTCCCTCCCAGACAACCCATGGGGGAGGTGGTCGAAACAGTCATTGAAGCCCTTTCTTTACGCTGAGCCCCTGAGCACAGCTTAGGGGCAGTGGCATTCTGGAGAGGTGGCCCACTCTGGAGAGCTCCTGTGAAATCACAGGAAGGGAGAGTACAGGACTCGTGGTCAGCAGAGCTCGTGATCTGTGTGCTGGAAATCTTCCTCAGAGCCATGGCTGAGCCTGCCACAGAACATGGCTGTTGGTTGTGACACCATGCGGCATTTCTAAGTGAGCTCAAACACCCAAATGGTCACAACCTCCAGACACGAGCCCCGCTCCTGGGTGGCCGCATGGAGCTCAACTCCCTCCTCCTCGCTGACCTTTGAGCAACTGACCCCTTCTTCCCATCTCCTCTATCCCCCTAGCACACGGTCTCTTGGTGGGATCACTGCTAACACTTTCTAGCTGTTTCTGCCCCTTTGGCAGCCAGGGTGAGTCCTCCCACTCCAGCAGCCCTCTCTGCAGCCCCTGCTGCCCTGGCAGAAAGTCCAGACCCACAGCCTGCCGTGCCGGGGGATATGAGCTGCCCACCCCTTGAGGTCTGCATTCTGGCCACGTTGGACAGTTGGACATTTAGAACACATGCATGCCCCACTGCCAGGGCCTCCTGTGATGCCCTCTTCTGGGCCTCCTCACCTGGCCAAGGCCTGCACACCTAGTGAGTAGGACTCACAGCGAAGTCACCCTCCCCCCTTGGTGGCTGTGGTCAGGTGGGTTAGGGCTTCTGATTTCTCCCCCAGCCCTCGCCTGGCTGGGACCCTCAGGTGCAGACCAATCCCGACAACCACACGTGGTCTCTCTGCATGCCTGTGAACACCAGTACCCTAGACGTTCCCTTTTCCCAGATCCCAAAATGCCCTGTGCCGAGAGCTGCTGTTTATCCCCATCAGCTCTGGGGGCTGGGGCTGGACAACCATCCACCTCCATTACTGAGGGACTGATGTGTCAGGAGTGAATGTGGGAGGGGACACGCTTTTACTCCTAGAGACCACTGCTGCCTGGAAGTTTCCAGACAGCCTGGGTGACCTTTGCAGTTGAAGGCCAGGCTGACGAAGGGAGGGCGGCAGGTGACAGTGTCCCTCAGGGAGAGCTCCCGAGTGAGTGCCCTGCCTGTCCTGGGCCACCAGCAGCTCGGTCTGTAGCCGTGTGGGCTTGGGGGTTGAGTGCTCTGAGTTGACAGTGACAAATGGTGCCTGTAGACGGGCACCCAGCCCACGGCGAGGGCCGGCACCAGGGAACCTGCCTGTGCTGTCTGCTGGGCCCTTCGTGGGCTCTCGTCTTTGTGGCCTGGCAGTCCCTCCCTGTCCCGCCTGCCCCTTCCTCTGACGATCATAACAGCAAAGGCCACTGTTGACCACCCGAGTCCTGCGCTCGTCCCCACTGGATCCCAGCAGGTTTGGGAGCTCTGCCTTCAGCACGGCTGTCCTAGCTGGGCTCTCCTGCTTTTGTCCTTAGCACTAAGATGTTAATTTTGAAACCAAGCCTTTTCCTCTGCAAGAAATTCAGAAGATTGTAGGGTTGTGTTTGCAGGGAATGATTTTGAACGCTGGGGAGTTTGCTTTTTGCTCCGTAAACCAGTGTGGCCGGGCCTGGCTAAGGAGCAGGGCTGCGGGTATTTTACCTGCTGTGTCACATTTGCGTTTCTGCTGAGCCAGTGCTGCTGTGACAGATTCTTCTGCCCTCTGCAGAAGACGTGCTTGGGGAAGTGTGAGCGCCGTGGGCTGTGCAGCCATCTCCCCCCTCCCCGTCCCCCTGCCTCCGCCTCATGTGGGGACACTGTGGCCGCTGGCCAGCCCTGCCTGTCGGCTTCCGGTTGGGTCTGCCTCCTGCTTCTTCACTCCAGGCAGACCCTGAGTGTTGGGGAGGGGCTCCCACTCTTCTGTTCCTCACCTCGCTGCTGCTTGTCTCCCGTCCTCTCTATCGCACCATTTAATGTTCTTCTTTCTGTCCCCTGTGGTCCCCCTGTCCCCCTCTGGCCTGGTACCCTCCGTGCCTCACTGTTCCCTCTTGCTCTGCCCTGCCTCTGTCTGCCTGGCCCTCCTCTCCTTTCTCCCCAGGCCACCCATGCAAACGTGCTGGGGGACGCGAATGCGCCCCGTGGAGCCTGCCCTGGGGGAGCCTCTGCCTGTGTCCTTCAGGTGAGGCCCCTATGGGACTTTGAGCAGCGGTGGCTGCAACTCCAGCCACAGCTCTACCTCCTTTATTTGTAGGATGGAGCCTGCCCTGGGGGAGCCTCTGCCTGTGTCCTTCAGGTGAGGCCCCCATGGGACTTTGAGCAGCGGTGGCTGCAACTCCAGCCACAGCTCTACCTCCTTTATTTGTAGGAAGGTTCACATCACAAAGACGACCCTCGCGTGCTTGAATGGGGACTACGAGGTAGAACCAGGTCATGGACATGAGAGGAACAGTTTCTTGAAAACTCACAATATCGAAACCTTTTTTATTGTGCCATCCCATCGGCGAAAGGTGGGCACTGGAACCTCCCTTGTTTGATCCTTAAAAGGCCGGGCCCATGCAAAGCTTTAAGGACGTAATTGCTCCTACATCATCCTCCATTCACTGCCTCTCTGGGCTGTGAACTTGCTAAGACAGGGAGGGGTGGCCCTGCTGACATGTGTCCTGGGCTTTACCTTTTCCAGGTGTGGGGAGGGGACCAGGTGAGGAGTGGACGAGCCGGATCCCAGTGCCTTGGGGGGGCTGTCACTGGCAGGGTCGTGTTCCTAGCCCGAGAGGCAAAGTGTGTCTCATTTACAGTATCTCTCTCTGTGTTCCTGTTGTATCTGGACAGATATTTCCAGGCCTGATTCTCTCAGATATAAAACCGGCCAAGAGGATGAAGTTCAAGACCGTCTGCTACCTGCTGGTGCAGCTCATGCACTGCCGGAAGATGTTCAAGGCTGAGATCCCCTTCTCCAACGTCATGACCTGCGAGGATGACGACAAGGTAGGAGTGGCTGGGGAACCACCGTGCAGAGCAAGTGGGGAGAGTGACCGTCCGTCCTCCCAGCATAGTCCCCATGCAGTTGAGCTAGATCGGGACTCACTGTTTACCCGTTTATAATCTTGTAAATGCTGCTCAGAGCTGAGCTGCTCTTTCTTTTCTGCAAAAATCTTTGTCACCTTGTACTTTTTTGCTCCTTGGTATTCTGTATACTCATCTGTAAGTTCAAGTCCGAGGTCGAGGGCAGGGTTCATTTCTCTTGAGGCCTTTCTCCTTGGCTTACAGACAAGCCACCTTCTTGCTGTGCCCTCACATGGCATAGAGAGAGGGCTCTGGTGTCTTCCTCTCCCTGTAAAGGCCCTAATCCCATCACGACCTCATCTAAACCTGATCACCTCCTAAGACCCCACCTCCTCATACCGCCACGTTGGGGCTGGAGCCTTCGACACACGGATTTTGGGGAGACACAAACATTTGGTCCAGCACAGTTGGCGATGGTCTTCCCCTCACTGACGTCACCTCACTGTGTTCTGGCTTCCAGGGCTGCCCTGAGAAGCTCGGTGCTGTTCTGGTTTCTTGATGTGACGCTTACGTGTGTTCTTGATCCCAGGAAGCTCACGGAATCTGTTCTCTGGGCTCTGTTCTGGACTTGTACTACAATGGCCTGATCGAGGTCTGCTTTTATACTTTGTGACAGCAACCCTGTGGACCCAGAGGATCCATCTTGGAAATATTAGGAATTATTTTGTTAATTGTTTCTTTTCCTGCATTTTCCCTGTTCTCCATTTCCCCAAACGCCTATCGTTTGGGTGTTGGACCTCGTGAGCTAGTGATCTAATTCTCCTTCTCTCTCTCTCTCTCTCTCTCTCTCTACTCCCTTCAGTTTTTGGAAAATTTCTTCAACTTTATTGTCCAACATTTCTGTTGAGTTTTTCATTTCTACAACCACATTTAAAAAATGCCTTTTTGTGAGCTCCTCTTTGTTTTTTTAATATTCCTTTTTATGGCATCCTGTTTCCACTTGAAGCTTGTACTTTTTCCCCTTTTGCATCCTTGAGATTTTCTTTTTTTTCACATTTCTTGTTTCAGAACTGTTTCCTCCAAGCAACTTTCGTTCTGTTTGTCTGTCTTCATTTATAACTCCGTCTTGCGTATGTGTCTAATGACCCTCACTGCTTTGTTCTTGATTAATATTAGGGAATTACAGAGCTGACTCAAAGTGCTGAGCTGGGGGGAGGATTTTCTCTTTGGGCTTTACTGCAGGGTGACCAGGGTTTTCATCTTTCTTCTTGGGTTGGTCAGAGTCACCTTTGAGTGTTCTTCCAATCTTCTGACAAGGGTGGGTGGAATTTGGGGTAAAAGTCTGGAGTTGAGTAGGGAGGACACAGTGGGGGGGTCTCAGCATTCACTTCAGCCACACAAGCCCGTGTGTGTAACCCTGGGCCAGAGACCCTGATGTTCCCTCCAGGAAAGACCTGCTGGTCTTCTCTGGGGTCAGCGAGGACCATATCCCAGGAGCCTGGGGTGGACCATAGGGACCTAACGCTGCCTTGTTGGCAGCTTCTGACCAGAGCGGCTGCTGCCATCAGTGCCCAAGCCTTTCAAACACGCCTGGCTTCCCTGTTGCCAGCTTACTTTCAGCCTTCTGGGGTCTGCACTGTCAGTGACCAATTTTCTGTTTTCTAAACATGTGCTGTTGATTTCTCCACTGCTGTTTTCTCTGCCTTTGTGGGTTTTATGCCTCTTAAAGGAACTTCATTATAGTGGTTTCAGAGGCTTCTCGGGAAGAAGCAAAATCCTGCTGACCCTCCCTCATGGCAGCTTGAGATAACACCTGAGGGTTGTGTGTATGTGTGTGTGTGATTTGGTTGTGAGCTCATATTTGCTGGAACTTTATCTGGAAATTCTGTAAGAACTCTGTTTATGGTGTATCCATCAAAGAAGATCAGCCTTTAGGTCTGCCAGGCATCAGGGAGCTGCTTTAAACTAAATGTTGGGCTTACGGTTTTTAGATGTCCCAGGTAGTAGGATTTGGGCCCCGATTGGGCTGATTTGTGTGCACACATACCTGGAGGGTCCCGTCCATTCAGAGCTGGGTCCAAGACAGGTGGGCCTCCTGTCTCCCATTGCAAGGTGCTTCCTGGGTCTCTTTGCTGAGGACAGAGCCTCTCAGAGCCTGGGATTCTTGCAGAGACTGTTGATCCCATGTCCTGCCTCACCTGACCCTAGCTTTCTGCTCTGGTGTTCTGCGAGTGCCCATGAAAAAGGCAGTCCTGCAGAAGTGCTGAGGTCTCCCGAGATGCCACTGTCCTGGCAGTAGCCAGTGGCTTCAGCCTTCCTGCCCGGTCTGGACTCCTACCTGCCTAAATGTTTCTGGCCTCTGATAATTTCCTTTACTTTCTGGCCATTTCAGTGTGCATTTTAAAACGCGCGTGTGTGTTTGTATTAATATTTGTACTCATAATTTGAAGGGGGGTATTTTTAGGGTGTTGTATTTGCCATATTGCCAGAAGCAGAAACATAATTGAATTGCTGTCTTCTGCCCACAGCACCAGGCAACCCCTGACAAAGCCCACGTGACCCTGCAGGGCCGGGCTGCGTTGAGGCAATTTAAGGTGCACAATTTAGGTGCATGCTCAAAACTCAGTCACCAAGATAAATAACATTTTCATGCAATATGTTGAAAAACTGCATTTAATCCAAAAGAGTCCATGATGAACAAAAAGTCAAAATGTTTAAAAAAAGCAGGAGAGTGCAGAGCCGTCGTGGAGCTGGAAGCAAAAGGGCCAGTCGGAAGCCTCCTAAGACTCCCTCAAAGAAGGCGTGGTGGGGGGCATGGATGTCATTCTGGCTGGGATCGCTGAGGGGCAGGCGTTTAATAAGACTTGGGAATTCAGGCATGTTCCTGGGCAGAGTTTGCTGGCCTCTGACTCATATATTCAAACTCTGCTTCACAAACCAAGGCGGCAAGGGGGCTGCTTCCCTCTTCTGCAGGGCGGCTGCCCCCATTCAGATTTCAGGGGCACTGGTGGCATGCCCCTTTAGGAGCTTGGTGGGTTTGGAAGGGGTTGCAAACCCAGGCTTCTGGGACTCACCTTCTCAGGCCATCTGCAGCTCCTGCTCCTGCCCCTGGTACCTTGGAACCCAGGAACCTGCAGGGCCCCCGCAGCCCAGCCCTTCTCAGTTGCCAGCCTGGACGACTTTGCTGTCACACCCCCACCCCCTACCCCCTGGCCTGGGCAGACCAGAGTGTGCAGGGTCCCCTCGGTCTCCTTTCACGGCAGGAGTTTCCCCTGTGTTCCTCACGCTCATCCACAGCCCAGCTTCTCTGACATCCACACCTCTCCCTTCCCACCTCCCCTGGTGGCAGTGAGCAGTGGCGTCCCTGGTTTTGTCCTTGGTCCTTCTGTCCCCCAGTCTCCCTGGACAGCTGGCACTCACCCACAGACTCACTACGGGCTCAGGGCCCCTAGCCCCAGGCCCACTGCTGCCTGCTCGGCCCTGGACTGACCCCTGGCCTGACAGGACTTCTCTGTTAGTCTGATACACTTACCGTGGTCCCAGTGCCCGGGCACTCAAGCCCCCTCCCAAGTCTTGCTCCTTTCTGTCTCTCATCAGGAGGTCAGATGCCACCTGAAGCCTGATCCTTTGTCTGTGCTTCTCGTGGCAAAGCCCCAGGCCCTGCCCCAGCCTGGCTCCTCCAGCCCCTTCTAGATGGGTCCCACCCTGGTGCTGGGCCCATTCCTGCCTTAGGTGTGCCTCAGGGCCTGGCCCTGCCTGCCTGCCACCCTTGTCCCCAGGGCCTCCCTCCAGTGTCGAAGGCTCATCTTCCCTCTGAGTGACTCCACGCCTCTCCAGCCATGCACAAGTGCTCTGCCTGCAGGAGGTCCTCCCCTTTGCTTGCTGGGCAGGCTCTGTGGGCCACGCCTGAGCCTTGGCTGCTCTGACATTGCCCCTTTGTTGCCATCTGCCCCATCTTTGTTGCTGCTGCCTTGTGATCAGTGAAACAAGCCCCAAACAGGGAGAAGAGTAGTGTCTGCACCATAGGGGACATCAAAGGGTGGTCATGGGGCAGTGACAGGCGGTAGCCTCAGTGGGGACAACTGTGGTCATCCTGGGCATGTGACGAGGACTCTGTGAGGGACAGGTGCAGACTGTGCTCCGAGCATCCCCCTCCTGCAGCACCGGCTCCCCAGGCATCCCGGGCCACCTTCATGTGTCCATCCTGCCTCTGCGCACTCTACCTACCTCATCTCCACACCCAGCCCCCACCCAGCTGGCCTGAGCCTGGGAGCTGGATTCAGGATCGGGGTAGGGGTATGTGTTCTGTGGTTCCAGACCTTGGTGAGGCTTTTGTGAGCAGAGATGTCTGGAGTTCTGGGGAGCGACTTACAAATATGCTCAGACAGCCTCAGACTCTCACTGGGGGTCCAGGGTTCTCAACTCGCTCATTCAGGGGTGTGGGAGGCAGGACAGTGGGGATCAGCCACTAGGTGGCGGTGTCGCACAAGGACCTATTGGTAGGTGGGGCCTTGCAGTGGGGGAGACAGATTGGGCTCAACTTCTAACACAGCATGAGCCAGTGGGAATTTACAGCCCAGGAGCAGGGTGGGAGTCAGGGGATGGAAACCAAGGGGCAACATCAGGGGGAAGGGAGATCCTCGTTAAACCGACCTAATAGGATTCTTGCTGAAGATAGGCCAGGGTGATCAGGTGTCACTTGGGGATGGTGGAGGATGAGGAACCCAATCAGATATCCAGGGTGATCAGATATGGAGGGTGCGGGGTTTGCTATACTGACTTAGCACGGTTCTTGTTAATACTGGATTCTACAAGGAAGTGCACAGAAGGGCCTAGGAGAAGGTTCAGGAGCCTGACTATAGTTTGGTCAGGCAGAGAATCTTGGTCAGGCCCCACACAGTCCGACGCCTCCCAGCTGGGTTCAGAATTGAACCTCTCCCACTGAGAGGCCTGAATGTCCCCCCAGGGTTTGGTCTCTTATC